GGCAGAGAGAGAGTGAAAGAGAGAATCCCAAGCAGACTCCATACTGTCACACTGTGGAGCTGGATGTAGGGCCCGAACTCATAAACCATGAGATCATGACCCCGGCTGAAACCAAGTCAGTCGCTTAACCAACTGAGCCACCCAGGTGCCTCTATTTCTTAATATTCTTAAATGTATTTTAAATTATACAAAAGCTCAACTCTTCCTGCAGCTCCACTCTCTTTACCTTACTGACCTCACCCCATACAAGTCTTCCCCTTGCTCATTCTGAAGCAGCCATAGAGGCCTTCTTGTTGTCCCTTAAACACCCCATATACCCACTAATGGCCTCTGCACAGGCTAGTCCCTTGTCCAGAGCACCTTCCCCAAGCATCTGTGTGGCTTGCTCCTGTGACTCCTTCAAGCCTTTGCTCAGTGAGATGCTGATTATCCTTTTAAAACTGCAAACCCTTCCCTATCCCCTGCTTTATTTTTCTCCATAGTATTTACCTCCTCTCTAATTGGCTATGTAACTATTTATTCTGTTTGACTGTCTCTCCCACCAGAAGGAAGTACCACAAGGACACAATTATTGTGCTGTTTTATTTACTGCTATCCCCCCGGCACTTGGAACGGTGACGGGCACCTCAATAAGTATTTGTCTCATGAATAAATGGACTCTGCAGGGCAAAGGGGATATAAAATTAATGGAGACAAAAGTGACTGTTCAATGAATAACATCTTATGTTGCTTTGATTTTGAACTATGTGATGTATTACCAATACATTTTTAAAATATATTCATTAAGGAAACCATAGATGGCATATAAAACTTTTATTGTAGCAATTTTTTTGCTACCCAGGATTAATGAAATCACTATATGGTTTGCCATCCATTTGTGATCTTGTTGTACTGGAAATGGTAAGTTTTAGACTTAGGGGAGTGCGGGGGAGACAGAGAAGGTAAATATACTCTATCTCCTAGCAAATACATTAAAGACACATAAATGATTAAAATGTGATCCTGCCCTCAAGGAGTTGAATGTCCACTGGTTATATCAAGAGATGTTTTAACAGTCTCTGTAATTATTAACATATTTAGATTATTATTCATGCTTATTGATATACACACAGGAGATATTTCAAGTAACTAAGTATAAATATTACTTATTTATAATAAGTTGCCTATTTATTATTTACTCTGTTGTTTAAAAAGGCAACCATGTACCACTTTTTCTTCAGCCTAAATTCAGAATGAGAGATCACACAATGGTCAGATTGTGATTAAAAGTTCAGCTTTATCACTGACAAAAGCTAGTCTGGAGAATATGGCTTAAGTCTGTGGATAAATAGGCATGTTAACAAATTGTGCCTAAATTAGAAAGTTTTACTCACTCAGTTACTAAAACAGCAGTCACAACTGTGGACCTCCCCCCCCCCCACTTGGGCACACCCCTATAAAATTTTCATATAAAAAAGCAGAAAATGTACTCTTTCCCTGGACTGACAGCTTTCCAAAAAGAGAGGTATTAATAGGAGGAGCCTCACAAGTTTAGTTTCTTCTCCCATATTCATCAAACGGATCATTAACCCTTCCTTCCCCAAATAGGAGTAAGTGGAGAAAGAGAAGGACTGTGTACTCTAATGACCCCCCCCCAACCACAATGAACCACTTTTAAGAGTATTCAAGCCCAAAGACTAAACCAGAGATAGATGTCAAAGGAAGATGGCAGTTCAAATGAATTTTTGGTGCCTGCCCCTCCCTGCTCTAATTCAGCCTCTCTCCCCTGGCTACAGAGTCTTGGGGCCTGGAGTGTCTGGGCAGGACTGCAGGCCCTCACTCGTGAGGTACAGCATGGCTGAGCAGAGCAGGCCCGACCTGTATATATGCTACTGGAAAGAGTTCGTGGGCTCCCTGGCTTCTTCGAGCCTGCAGGAAACCCGCTAAAACCTGTCTACCCCAGGAGGTGGGAGAATGCTGGCTTGGTGCTGAGGAGAGCTGGGAGCAGAGAGGCAGCCTACCAGAGGCCCAGTGGAAAGCTGAAAACTTGCCTGTGCGTACTCTGCTGGCACATGAAGGGTGTATCACCACATAACTGGAGCTGAGCCCCAACAGAGAGGCAAAGGGAAATAACACAGTACCAAAGTGGGCTCGTACCCACAGAGAAGAAAAACGAAGGAACGACAGAACAGTTGGCCCTTAGTAAAATGGAACTGCTCTTGGAGACAGATAACAATATGAAAATAATAATAATAATAATAAGATACTTAACAAGAACAAACTATACCTTAGTAGGCATTCTAGAACTACAAAATATTGTTTCAGACTACAAAATTCAGTAGATGAATTGAGAGAGAAGACAGATACTCCTGAGACTCGATTTTGTGGCCTAGAAAATCAACTAGAAGAAATACCACAAAATACTATGCAAAAATACAAAGAAATGGAAAGCATAAGTAAAAATAATAATAATAATAATAACAGAATTGGGAATATATTGAGGATTCATACAAATAATGGAGTGTCAGAAGCACAAAAAGAAATGGATGGAAGAAAGTCAATACATAAACAACAGCAGAGATTTCTCTCACTGGGTATATAGTTACAGTCGGAGAAGCAGAACGCTTATTGGTGCTATAGAACAAGGGATTTATTTTTGGAATTTGACCTATGATTGTGGGAGCTGGTGAAGAATTATATATAACACTGTTGCTTCTGTGTCTGGTTTTGGGGCTAAAAGCCAGCAGTGAAGACAAGACAGAAAATTGGATGTGAGGGGCACGTGGAAGGCCCTGTCAGTTAAGCATCCAACTTTGGCTCAGATCATGATCTCAGTTTGTGAGCCCGAGCCCTGCAATGGGCTCTGTGCTGACAGTGCAGAGCCTGCTTTGGATCCTCTGTCCCTCTCTCTCTGCCCCTCCCCTGCTCATGTACACACACACTCTCTCTCTGTCTGTCTATCTCAAAAATAAACATTAGGGGTGCCTGGGTGGCTCAGTCTGTTGAGTGTCTGACTCTTGGTTTTGGCTCAGGTCATGATACCACGTTTTATGGGTTTGAGCCCCGCATCAGGCTCCATGCTGACAGTGCAGAGCCTGCTTGGGATTCTGTCTTTCCCTCTCTCTCTACCCCTCCCTGCTTGTTCTGTCACTCTCAAAATGAGTAAATAAATTTTAAAATAATTAAAATAATTTTTTAATAAACATTAAAAAGCTTTTAATGTTTCTTATTTTTCAAAAAAAATGATCATTTGGGGTGCCTGGGTGGCTCAATCAGTTAAGCCTCCGACTTTGGCTCAGGTCATGATCTCACAGTTCATGAGTTAAAGGCCCGTGTCAGGCTCTATGCTGACAGCTGAGAGCCTGCTTCCAATTCTGTGTCTTCCTCTCTCTCTGCCCCTCCCCTGCTCATGCTCTGTCTCTCTCTCGCTCGCTCTCAAAAGTAAATAAACATTAAAAACAAATTTTAAAAAATCATTATACAAATATATTTTTACACAGATTTAATTAGTGGATTTAGGATTTACTCACAGCTGCCTTTGCCTAGGATCCAGTATTGGGTTTAAAGCTTGCAACAACTTGTTTAAATTAAATATCCCAATATTGGCCTGATTTCCTATTTTATATCTTCCTTCATCATCAGATGTGTTTGGGACAAAATCTGTTGAAAACAAAAAACACTAGCATTTTGTAGTGGGGATAATTGTCTCTAAGTTTATATTTACACTTAATAAATTTATATTTATTAGATGTATTTATATTTATTAAATCTTTGTCTATAAACATTTAACTCAAAAGTAACATAAACACTACCCATACACATGAAATTCTTTTTAAATATGAATATGAATATTTGCCTAAAAGAGGCAAGTTCTAACCTGCAAGAATTTTTAGGGGATCACACATATACTTCAAACTCTACCTCAAGTCATGTCCTCCACCCTCCACGAAGCCTGCCTGGATCCCTCCTTGTAAGTATTGTGTTACTGTTACCTCCATTTTATAGGTTGGTAAAGTGCCAAGTTAAGTGACTTGTCCAAGGGCACAGAGCCGCTAAGGGTCAGATGCCCGAAGTCACACCCGCATTGGTCTCACATATGTTCCCCACTCCCCTCCCCGGCATCTTCTCTAATATGTCATTCTTTAAAGGGCACAGACCACAAAGGACTCATTTTTGAATCCTTATAGCCCCAGAAGATTAAGTACCACGTTTTATGAGTGAACCCAATTCTCTCTACCCCACCACTGTATTACCTATAACAGTTTATCTAAAATAAACCTGTGATAATTTTTTAGTGAAATAAGATATATGTGTGTAAACATATATATGTTTACATATAAATCACTCTTACCTGGATTATAGGCTTCCATAAAACCAAATGGACCATAGTCAATTGTAATGGATAACAAACTGAAGTTATCAGTATTACAAACACCTGAAACCACAACAAAAAGTTTCTGAAAACACGGTAATAAAACAATAAAGCATTTTTAAATGTATAAAATTATCCAGAATAGAAAAGGTAATGGAAATGCATTTGTTTTGGAAATGCGGCAAAATTAGATTATCAATTGAAAGTTTAACTGGTGATACCAAATAGCTTAATATATATTAAAACTATATTTTTAAATTAAATTTACCCTTTTGTTTTATACCCTACCCCCTGCAAAGATTTCAAACACTGCAGGAACAAAAGCCCCAAGAAATAAAAATTCTTCTTACTTATCCTCAATTTCTAGCATTTGTTTAAACAATATATGTTACTTGGAATGGAATTGAGGCTAATAAAGGAATAAGATTAATTCATATTCAAAGGATGGGAAAAGGGAAAAACATGGCTATGCATTCCAGTAACAGTCACCAGCTGTGGGGAGAGAGTATGCCTCCCAGGCCGGTGAGGCCATGGCCGGGGTAGGAAGAAGCCGGGGAATGAATACACCAGCTTGTTACATACAGGATATTTCGCAACGGTGTCCAATATAGAGTTTCAGCTTTTCTCTGTTTACAAAACGTGAACTATACAGACTCTCTAACCCAGCCATTCCACTTTAGGGGTCTATCCTCAAAAAGTCACCTTCAAGGATACAAAGATACAGTTGCATGGTAGTCACTGCAGCAGAGTTCATAATAGCAAAAACTCTGAAATGCTGAGCCCGCTCTCCCTACCCCAACCACCCCAAGAGAGATACACGGAGTATGTGTGTGATAAGCTAAGCGGATTTCAAGAAGTTTTGCAATGTGGGAATTCCGTTTGGTATTTATCTAGACACATTAGTAAGTGTACGATTTGTTTTTCAGTTATTCTTAGTTCAGGCACATATTCCTCCCTATGCAACTTCACACACAAGATGGCTTCATACATACAAGCCAGGCCTGCTTTTTTCAAAGATTATGAATATCCTCCAAAACAGTCCAAAAGAATTGATAGGAAATGGTTAACAATGATTGCCCTGGAAAATGGAATTCACACTCACTTCTGTATATTTTAAAGCATTTTTTTAATTTTATTCATTATTGAGAGACAGAGCATGAATGGGAAGGAGGCCAAGAGAAAGGGAGACACAGAATCTGAAGCAGCTCCAGGCTCCACACTGCCAACACAGAGCCTGACACGGGGCTTGAACCCACGAACCACAAGATCATGACCTGAGCCGAAGCCAGCCGCTTAACTGACTGAGCCATCCAGGCACCCCTCACTTCTGTATATTTTAAATTCTTTACCTTAAGCATGTAGTGCTTTTATACTTAAGATTTTTAAAACAGCTTTAAAGAGATCTAAATATAATACATGTAGCCACGAGGTTAAAAAGCTTTACAGGTAATAACATCCTCATCAAATTGAGGATGCCTACTCTATTTTGTGTATACTGTTCCCCTCAAAACCATTTCAAACACGAGAAAATTGTTTCTCTGTTGCTGAAAACAAATTCATAGGCTATAAATGTTAAGAAGCTCATCAGCAGGAATATTTTGAGGCACACAAAAAAGAAGTCTTCTGCTTCAACAAATTAACTCTACTTCCCCAACAGAAAAATGGCACATCAGTAGATAACTTACCATGAGCAAAACCAACAGACATCCACAAGGCAATGAGTTGTGCTGTCTCTGATACCACAACAGAGAAGAAATCCTAAAATAAAATTCAGAAATTTGTCAGATTTTTCAGGAATGCATACTCTTTTAGAATCTTCTGGTAAGTCACAAGGAGAACATGGAAAACATTCAGAGAGCCAAAACCTAACTAAAGAAATGGAAATTACTAGGTGTAAGAAAAACATGGAAGAATGTAGGGAATTAGCAAGAAATAATCTCTAATGGCTCAGACAAAGTATTATGGCCAGGCTTTCCCCACATCCAGTAAGAACAGGGAAAGCATTAGAATTCAGCACAAGGGAGTTAAAAGTAAAGTGAGTTCTTAAACTTTGAAACAAATGGCCAACAAAAATAATGCCATTCCATTCTCTGTGACTGCTAAGAGGGTAAAAGAGGGTACAATGATCAAAATATTTCCACAAGAACAGAAAATTAGGGGTGCCTGGGTGGCTCAGTCGGTTAAGCATCTGACTCTCGGTTGAGACTCAAGTCATGGTCTCATGGTTCGTGAGTGTGAGCCCCACATCATGTTCCGTACTGACAGCTCAGAGCCTGGAGCCCGCTTGGGATTCTGTGTCTCCCTTTCTCTCTGCTCTCCCCTGCTCACACTGTCTCTCAAAATAAATAAATAAACCTAGAAAGAAAGAAAGAAAGAAAGAAAGAAAGAAAGAAAGAAAGAAAGAAAGAAAGAAAGAAAGGAAACAAAAGAAAAAATCACAGGTTTTCTTGTTATGGATTATGTGTATTTTGGAATGACTAATATAGAAATATCCATATATCTCACATGTGAGAAAAGAACACATAGGACCAAGTTACAAATGCTGCACAAAAAATAATGTCTAGAGTCAGGATGCAGTAGTATCTGTTCTTTTTCTCTAGATCCTTTCAAACAAATCCGCTTTTTTTTTTTAATGTTTATTTATTTTTGAGAGAAAGAGACAGAGTGCAAGCAGGGGAGGAGCAGAGAGAGAGGGAGACACAGAACCCGAAGAAGGCTCCAGGCTCTGAGCTTTCAGCACAGAGCCCAACACGAGGCCAAACCCAAGAACCATGAGATCATGACCTGAGCCGAAGCTGGATACTCAACCGACTGAGCCACCCAGGTGTCCCACAAAACCACTTTCTTATCTGTGTCTTGTTTCTGAAGTGGTTCACCTTCTCTTCCTCTAACAAAATGTTCAGAGTGCTCTTTTTCCTTTCGTACCTTTAGTTCTTTAAGGTATAAGTTGTAACCGTTGACGTTGACAAGCAATGAGAGAAGACCGAATACCACCCTTTGTCTTTAAAAACTTACCACGTATCTGTTAGGTTCTGCGACCTCTACTGAGGGGAAATGCTCCCGTATGATGAAGTCTAATAGTGTCCTGGAGAGAAGAAGGGGAGAGTATCGGCATGCCTCCGTATCAAACCATTAAATCCACCCTTGACATTCAGGAAGCCATTTGATTCAAGCTTAAATTTTTAAAAACTGAAATAAGATTTTACTCCCAAAACAGCCATAGAGAAATCTTTCCTCAACACCAGTTAAAACTGGAAATGTGTTTCTAAGATAGGATTAGATTCCATCTGATTATGTTACAGAGTCAGCTTAGTTCAGTACATACCCAGTGTACATGTCCTGCACCTGCTGTATGCTGCACCCTATGCAAATCCTGACAAGACCCAGACCCAGAATCCAAGCAGAAGTGAACGAAAAAACAAATGGGAAGTTAGAAATAATGCCCAGCGAGTATAGACAACTCTCTCAACAAGCAGGGATGACCACGAGCTCAGTAAACATTTGCTAACGTAAGAGACACAGACACCCTTCGTGACCAATGTCATGACTTCTCTGTTTTGCTTATTCATTTCCCTCAATGTCTTTTCTCTCCATATTCTTGGTGGACCAGGTGGAATCTGGATTTATTAAGCTCATAACTACAATATAGGACCCACGTTCCTAATGATTCTAGTTTGCCTATGAGAATTTTTATGTTTTTAAAACTGTGTTATCTTAACAAAAGGAAACAGAATTCCTCTTAAAGGAAGAAATTTTTTTCTGAAAACGCATCTTGCTAAGTCTGCTGAAGGAAGATGAAATTTTGTAAGCACAGATATCACAGGCACCAAGATATCAGAAAATGCTGGAAGCTGTACTGCATGATGCAAGGGGAAGAATTGCTTTTGCTCTTTTGAAGCAATCCTCTGTCTCCCCTGCAGAAAAATCTTCACTAAGATGCACCTGTTCTTAAATGCTTTGTGTAAATTCTCCTGTTTGGTTCATTTTGTCCTATTTTTTTTAATGTTTATTTATTTGTTGAGAGAGAAAGACAGAGTGCAAGTGGGAGAGGAGCAGAGAGAGAGGGAGACACAGAATCTGAGGCAGGCTCCAGGCCCCAAGCTGTCAGTACAGAGCCTGACACAGGGCTTGAACTCATGAACTGTGAGATCATGACCTGAGCCGAAGTCAGACCCTTAACCGACTAAACCACCTAAGCGCCCCTGTTTTTGTCCTATTGAAGGGGCTAAGTTTCAAGTCTGGGTCAACCCAGAGCAAAACAGGCATCTCACACATGTCAAAACCGTGGGAATCCCAGAAGTTATAAGGAGATCTTTCGAGCTCTGCAGGCTGCAGAAGTGGGGGGTTTGAGTCATTTCCACCTAGGTCTCTGAATGGCACAGACCCCCACAGTTGATAGTTGCATTTGAGATTAAAAATTCCTTGGGGAAAGGGTCTACTGTGTCTCACACTTCTTTTAGCTTCCTAGAAAACCCACATGATATTAGGCACATAGCGTTAAAAATAATTATTTATTTGGGGCGCCTGGGTGGCGCAGTCGGTTAAGCGTCCGACTTCAGCCAGGTCACGATCTCGCGGTCCGTGAGTTCGAGCCCCGCGTCGGGCTCTGGGCTGATGGCTCAGAGCCTGGAGCCTGTTTCCGATTCTGTGTCTCCCTCTCTCTCTGCCCCTCCCCCGTTCATGCTCTGTCTCTCTCTGTCCCAAAAATAAATAAACGTTGGAAAAAAAAAAAAATTTTTAAAAAAAAAAATAATAATTATTTATTGAAATATTTGGTTTTACTTATAAGAAAACCAAAGATATTTTAGCTTCACAGCATGTATATAAGCATTTTTTAATTGTCTTCTGTCATTTAACAAAAAAAAAACCTCATTTTCTAACCTTAGTAAATCCAGTTCACCATAATGAGCCAAAATTTCTAATGATCCAATTCTAAACCATGATTTTGCAACACGCAGCACTACAGCACCTGAAAAACAAACATTTCAGCATAAGTTAAACTATGCAAATATAGCATAATATGGTTTTCTTAAACTTTAAATTATTTTATTTACTTTATTTTTATTTATTTATTTATTTGAATGAGAGAGAAAAAGACGGAGAGGGAGAGAAACTCAAGCAGTCTCCACGCTCAGTGTGGAGTCTGACATGGGGTTCAATCCCACGACCCTGGGATCATGACCTGAGCTGAAATCAAGAGTCAAACATTCAAACAACTGAGCCAACCAGGTGCCTCCAAATTTAAATTATTTTAATAAAAAAATACAGTAACTGAATTTATCAGAAAAAAACTAATTTATACCCTAGAAAGGATCAAGGGTTTTTCTCTATTTCTTTAAGCCTTGAATCAGAGTGTCAGTAGCCACAACACTTTCTTTTTTTTTTTCTAAATTTTTTTTTCAACGTTTTTATTTATTTTTGGGACAGAGAGAGACAGAGCATGAATGGGGGAGGGGCAGAGAGAGAGGGAGACACAGAATCGGAAACAGGCTCCAGGCTCCGAGCCATCAGCCCAGAGCCCGACGCAGGGCTCGAACTCACGGACCGCGAGATCGTGACCTGGCTGAAGTCGGAGGCTTAACCGACTGCACCACCCAGGCGCACCGCCACAACACTTTCAGAAATACCAAGGCTCCAACCTCACCGAAGGCTGCTCAGTCAGGCTGCAAACATGGGACTCCCAGTCTCCTCTGTTGTGACCTTTTCCCTGTAACTTATCCTGAAATAGGGAATCCGTGAATGCTTTCCGTGGCATAGTCCCTGCAAGTGCCTTCTATTGGTGTAACTAATTGAAAATTAACTTCAATAAATAAATGTTTATGTATGTTCTAACTTATGCATACACTAAAGAAATAAAGTGAGTCTATGCATTTTTGTGTTAGTGTTCACAGCCTTCTGTCCTGACTATAGTAGTAAAACAACTAATAAATAGAATTCACGGGTTTTTTTTTTTCCCCCACAAGGAATGCTGTACTTATGTGTGTTTAGATGTCAAGATGAAGTCTATCCCAGGCAACTAAACGTCCTGCTCTGCCAGGATCCAATACCACACCTGCTGCTCCCTCTTTCCCTACTCCATGGGCCCCTCCCCTTCTCCCCCTACTAAAGTCCTTCCTAATCTCAAAGATAAATAATCCTTCGTTCCTTTAAGCATGAAGACTTTAGGGGGATTGTTTTTTTATGAAAATCTTGTCAAAACATATCAGGCATGAAGTATTAAGAATATAGCGTGCACTTAGTGAATCATTGAGAACATCAGTAAAAATCCTGCTCTGTTATATGGTCACGTCCACAGGACCCGAGAGAGCATGTAGGGCTGTCAGCAGCTCTCAATAACTCTGTTGTTTAAGTTGTTAAATAAGTTTATTATTAGGGCACCTGCTGGTTTAGTCAGTACAGCATGTGACTCTTGATCTCAGGGTAGTGAGGTCAAGCTCCACGTGGGGCGTAGAGCTTACTTAAAAAATAAGCAAACAACAAAGAAATAAAATGTATTCCTTACTGATTTTCAATTCTCCTCCCTGCCCAGAGATTCAGGGTCAAGTTTCTCTCACTGTTTCCCTTTCCACACTTCTCACCTCTTCCTAATTTTTTTTATTTCTGACCTACTAAAGGCTGAGGAAAAAGCTAGTGGAACCGACTGGAAGTGAGCATGAAGTAAGAGCAATGAGGCTGTGAGGAAAGGTCTAAGGGTCTCTCCTCAGAAGGGAGCGTATGAACTTTGGCGCCCTGGCTTTGTAACACTTTGCTGGCCACCCATAACCATTTTTGTTCACTTCCCAGATGTTTGCTCTTTGAAACCAAAGGGCTACTCACATAAGGATGTGAGAAAGGATATTCTATGGTAACATCATAAAGCGGCAATTACATCTTGAAGAACCACGGGCCATCTTTTAAGAAGACCCGACACAGAGCTGTCCAGTATCAGTTACTCTTTAAGAACTTAGGCTAATTGTATGTAAGTCTCCTAAAAACCATTGTTACCTCGTTCTTTCACAATGTTTCCATTGTAGAACTGATCTCTCCATACTTCATCGTCACTTACAACCAGACTGAAACATAAGAGAATCCAACAATTAAAGTTAGCACTTAGCTGCTGGCAAGCCACCAAGAAGTACCTAAAACCATCAGAAACACTGAGAAATCATGCTACCAGAGATTTGTCTGCTCACTTTACTGATACACGTCGGGAGATAACGTGATGCAGTCCTGAAAATTAGCTTTGAGGAAAAAGGATTTACCTTGCAACTCTGCTGGTTGGAATTCTGAGAGAGTGCATAGCCTCACTGCATAAAAATTCTCTCACTGAGGAACGAAGTACAGCTCTGCCATCACCATTTCTCAGGGAAATAAGACAAAAAAGATATTCAGTTGTAATTAAGACAAGACCAATTTTTATTTAGATGACTAAAAAAAAATATCAAACTGTACCGGGAATATGGGGTCTTTCCTGAGCCTTTTAATTGGAGCTCCCACTTTTCACCCTGCCTTCAACAACAAAGAAATCTAAGTATTAGAAGATTCATGTTAATATTCAGCAGAAAAGCTACTACACCAGAAAACATGTGGTACCTGTTCATGTAAGTTCCAAGAAGATGGGCTCTTCCATCCCCAAGCTGACCTGCCCAGATCCCAAACTAAAGGAGAAAAAGGGAAATTATTCATGCTTATTAGCCCTTAAAGCTTTCATAGTAATTTTACAGCCAAAGTTTTTTTGTCAAAATTGAGAATGGGTTGGGGTGCCCGGGTGGCTCAGTCATTTAGGTGTCCGACTTTTGGCTCAGGTCATGATCTTGAGGTTCATGAGTTCGAGCCCCACATCAGGCTCTGTGCTGACAGCTCAGAGACTGGAGCCTGCTTTGGATTCTTTATCTTCCCTCTTTCTTTGACCCTCCACCGCTTGCATTCTGTCTCTGTCTCAAAAATAAACATTACAAAAATTGAGGGATGTCTGAGTGGCTTAGTTGGTTGAGCATCCAACTTTGGCTCAGGTCATGATCTTGCAGTGCATGGGTTCAAGCCCCATGTCAGGCTCTGTGCTGACAGCTGAGAGACTGGAGCCTGCTTTGGATTCTGTGTCTCCCTCTCTCTCTGTCCCTCCCCTGTTTGCTCTATCTCAAAAATAAATAAACATTAAATTTTGTTAATTGTTTCTGATGGTTTTAGGTACTTTAGGTACATTTTTGAGAATTTTTTAAATTGAGAATGGCATTTTTAGGATTATAATAATCAACAACTTGAATAAAGGTGAAGATGAAATTCAATCAATAAAACATAAGTGAAATTTATTTTAAGAATATAAATTTAAGACATATAATTAACTTCATCATCTTACAGCTGAGCTCAAGCTTGTTGGGTGTAGAATACTTAGAACTGATCTATTGATCTATTTAATTCCAGAATATGAACTAGGAACAATTTATTCATAGAAGGTTTGCCAATATTACATGCATGCAGTGTGAAATCAGGAACATACTTGTAACTCAAAAAATTGCTTTTGAACTTGCATGATTGACTGTTTCCAAATTTTTCTGTTTGCAGTTGCCCAACTCCCAGTTATGCCACTTACTACCTATGGAAATTTGAGTGACTTAATCCCACTGAGGCTGACCTTTCATTTCTGTAAAATGAGATAACCCTTGCCAGGTGTAAGAATGAATGCTAAGAAATGCTTTGTACTATATGCAAGTGCTCCTAAGTTGGTAATTATTTTTACTGCTAACAGTGATTTGCTAACTTGGACAGGACTCCGTTTTCTACATGCATGTCACTTCCACCAGAAAGTGGTCTCTGACTTTCTGGGACTAGGAAGGTGGTTTTGTGAATTCCCATAACTCCTATACTTACCCCTTTCATGTTTTGTTGATGTTCTATAATTGGATGTTATAGAATTTGTTTCTTTATCTGTCCCCTCCCCTAGAGTATTAACAATCTGAACAAAGGGGACAGGTCTCATTCACCATTATAGCTCCTGGCACATAAATGGAGTTCTATAAACAGCTGTGAAATATTTAAACTATGTTTATAGTTTTGAGAGAAAAACATGAAATTGAGAAAAATCTACCTGGTATTTTTTCATCTTAACCAGGAACAGATCACCATTAATTTCAGCTACATAATACCTCTAAGAGCACAAATCTGAGAGGTGCTTCGGCAATTTCTAAAATTGACAATACATTAGGTATATGCCACACCGTGAAAAGGAAGTAGAAAGAATGGTGAATCCAGAGCCAGGAGTGAAGTCAGGGGAAATAAGAAGGTAATTCTCTGTTAATAAAAGAGAAACCATTTATTGTTCAAAAGGACAAAGCCGTCCTTATAAATATTTGTAATTTCAAATTATAAAGAGAGAAGAGATGAAATGTGAAATTGATAAAAGATTCATCTAACTTACTATATTACAAAGTAAACCTACAAAAAAATACAGCTTAACAAAACTCTGCAGGGCTTAAGGTTTGCATTCATACTTTAACAGTACACGTGAGTACTGGTACAAAATGCTAATAAATTTAACCTATATGGGGAATGACTTTTTGAACCACGGGATCCCTATATTTGGGAGCTAAACAAAACAAAACAAAACAAAACAAAACCATAAGGATCATATAGTCCAGAAGTTTCTAAATTGAGAAACATAGTTCAGCAAAATGTTAATAATTATTCCTTAAGAACAGCACACAATAAAACCCTGCAGTCAAGTATGTTTGAAAAATGGAGTGTTAAAGTAAGTGGATTTCTTTGCCACAGCACTTCTCACAACTCCTGGAATGGTATTGGTCAACCCTTGCACATTACAGATCAACACACTGAGGTTCAAGTTTGTCACAGATGACCCTTAAAGTCTTTCTCAATTCTAATTAGTGGTCTATGTCACTTTGCTTCTCAAGCTTGTGTTAGTTTAGCTTCTATGATGCTTTTGCTTCTTAGGACACTAAGGAATGAAAGCAACAAAAATCTGAAAGGAATTACCTGCCCCCAAGAGACCAGAGCCTGATACTATCATTATTATAATAGGTATCATGGAAGCACTTTTCATGTTTCCTAACTTAATCCTTACTCCCACCCTATTACACTTTGTTACCGTTCCTAAAAATTATTCCAGAGTAAACCAGCCTCGGTACAGTCAGAGTGTTAAATTAAAAACATATATAACATTTATTTATTTTTGAGAGAGTCTTTAACGTTTATTTATTTTTGAGAGAGGAGTCGGTGCAAGCAGGGGAGGGACAGAGAGAGAGGGAGACACAGAATCTAAAGCAGGCTCCAGGCTCTGAGCTGTCAGCACAGAGCCCGAGGCAGGGCTCAAACCCATGATCATGACCTGAGCTGAAGTCAGACACTTAACCGGCTAAGCCACCCAGGCCCCCACCCCCCAGAGTGTTAAATTAATCTTATCTGGTTCACAGGAAAGTCACAGCAAGTTCAACAATTACTCCTGTGTTCCTTCTTTTTTTTTTAATTAGTCAGATACCACCACACCCTGAACTTGCTTCAATATCTTATTTCTAGAAGGCACATTCTTAATTGCTTCAACATACATAATACCCCCAATTAGTCCTAATTAAATTCTAGCAGCTTCTAGCAGTTCTAAAACTTTGTTGTACAGCTGTCCTGGCAAAACTATAATCTCTTTATCCTTCTGAGATTTTATATTGACTTTTTGTGCTACTTTACCTAAATCTCTTGCCAAAACTTCACCAAATGAGTTACCTAGCGATAATTCACAGAAATTTTATATTGGTGCTGCCCCGGTTTTCTCAATTCCATCAAAGAAACTTGGGTTTTATTTTTAACACAGCAAGAAATCACATCAGCTAATTATGAGCATCTTAGGATGACACATTCTTCTAGAAACACCTTGTTGACATCTCAATACACTAACAAAGGAATCAATGCAAAGTAACTTCATTAATGGGACAGCATTTCCACCAACTGTTTATATTTACATAAGGGAAGTAATGCAGATGCTACTCCTACCTGGTGGCCACCATATCTGTGAGCCAATGGAATGGATCCAGATACTATCTTTTCACCACTCACAAGCTGGATAAAATCATCTGTTTCTGAGACAGATAAATCAAGGTCCAAAATATCTTCTAGAACTTCCTGAGGCAGGAAAAAACAAGAAAACAAACAAACAAAAAAAGCCTTACAAACTTAAGTAATCCTTTAAGAATTTTTAACAAAGGAGACTTGATGGAAGAAAGAAAATTAAAAGAAGCTCTTCCAAAAGTACATTAATATTTTTTCATGAGAGATGTATCGTACTTTATATGATTATTTACGCTATTTAGGAAAATTAGTTCTTAGTTTAAAATGTTTTATGTATTTCTTGTGATGCATGGTAAAACAATATTTTTCCTAGTTCATATTCTTTAAAGGAACTAGAAAAAAAGGAAATGTCTTATTTCTATTCCCCAATTCAATTCTATCATTTAGAATCTATTATTAGAGCCCATTTTTAAGAATTTAACTTACTTACCCCCCTTCTTCCAAAAAGTATATTTTCCTGTAAGATAACTTTAAGATGAAATGGAGTACTAGCTCCAGGAATCAATAGCAAAAAGTGATTTCTAAGAATCACATACTCCAAGGGTGTGTGAATTTTAAACACAAAGATAGGCATTTATCACCTGACTAACAATTCAACTCTAAAAAGTATGAACATCTTTTTAGACAAAATTTACAGTGAATTAAGTATCTGTGTTGTGAAAAAAAATCAAGCCTAACCTTTGAAACTGCTACAAGACGTACTCTTGATTTCAAAGGAGTAGGGACGGCAATTGAAAAAATACAGTTTTTCACTTTACGAACATAATTTTCTTTAACAGGATCAACTGGCAACACAGCTGATTAAAAAAAGAAACACAAAAAAACTCAGTGTTCTCATTTATTGCAAACATAGCATTAATATTCCTTAGAAGGGCTACGGTTCTTCAGGAAAATTAATTTATACCGCTATTTTCTTCCCACTTGGGTTAAAGCCTATTCTATCATTTTCAGCCATAGCTATCCAATATTCATCTAATACAGTACATGGAACCACCCAAGAAGATGGGAGATGGAAAAAGTTTAAACCAAGACACATACCCTGTCTCCAAGGATTTTCATTTATAGGAGACCAACAGGATGCACAACATATTTATAAATAAGAATGTATAAATAAAGCGGAGGTGAGCTGCATTACAATTTTGCAATTATAGTAACAGCCAATTCAGTGGAATCCAACCAAAAAATATTAGGCAGTTAATCACATTCTTTCTGTCCTTCAGAAAATCGTAATTACTGAAGGAAACAGATATGCACATAAATTCTAATACCAGGCAACAGATGTTTTACTAAATGTATAAAACACGTAGTAAAGCACATCTACCTTATTTTAAAAGCTGTACAAAAAAAGAGAGCTTTGAACATGCCTTAGATACTGAACATATTTTATTTTACATTCAATTTTTAAAATCTTAATGTTTTCTTAAAACCAACCAGTTAAAACAAAAAAACAAACAGAAGATGGTAGGTGTACTACTAAAATTACAAAACAAGGGGACACAAAATTTTGTTTCTGGATAGAGATATTATCAAGATGTCAGTGTAGTCAAATTATTTTATAAACATATGGATATCCAGCCAAAATCCCAGTAGAGCTTTTCCGAAGAAACAGATCATCTTAAGTGTAAATCTTGAAAAATAAAAATTATATTTTAGAGAGAAATGGGAGTTTTCCTATCATATTATAAATTATAAGAACACAATTAGCTGGGGCACCTGGGTGGCTCAGTCGGTTAAGCATCCGACTCTTGATTTTGGCTCAGGTCATGATCCCAGGGTCGTGGGGATTGACCCAGGTCAAGCTCTGCTCTAAGTGTGGAGCCTGCTTAAGATTCCCTTTGCTCCTGTCCCCCACTTGCTCTAAATAAATAAATAAATAAATAAATAAATAAATAAATAAATAAATAACTAAAAGGTTAAGATAGATGCAAAGACCAAAGGGACTCAGTGAAAAGTACAGAAACAGTCCAAAGTAATGTTAAGAATGCTCTATATAATTAAAATGATATTTGTAATCAGTAGAGAAAGGTGGCATTGGGACAATCAGTTCAACTGTTTGGCATAACTTTTATTTGTCCCACTCAAGCCTAGGTGAACCAAATGGCAAGTTGTAACAGAAATAAGAGTGATCATCTATCTTTCCCGTAGGAGTATAAAAAGAGGCAAATGTGGACCAGATTTAACCTTTACACTTTCCCCTAAATACATGGTAAAGAAGGCACATCATGGGGAACAAATGGGTAGCCAACCAAAAAACAAATGATTTCAGCATTGCCACAGAAAACCTGACAATATGATTAAAAGTAGAAGATCCAACAATGTATTTGAGTCTCTTTTAAGAGATCCACTGTGTGGAAATAGACTAAATTATAATTTATGCATTTTTTATGATGCCCTAACATTTTAATAGAGCACAGGCTATATATACTGTTCATTAATACTCATGATTTTGTACTGACTGATTCACATTTTGGTACGGTAGTTGATTAGTCAGTCATATGTGATCATTGGTCAGGGAAAAAAAGAGGCCAGCTGCTTCAGAGGCACCCAACCCTTCCTTACCTTTGCTACACTTTACCCAAATAATCATACACTACAAACCCAAGAGAAAATTCCAAATGTATATTAAGTCTCCATCTTAACATCTCAGAGATTTCAATAATTCCAAAATTAAATTCTTTAGAATTCAGTTTAGCCTAAGAATATGAAATCCACAAAAACCGCTAACCTTTCAGCGCAACTATGTTTGAACCTCTTCTCTCAGTAAATGTTCTTACCACAGTCACCTTGATAATTGATCATTTATCTAATAACATCAAGATGAGATGTTTTCATGCAGTATTATGAATCAAGACACAGTTAAGATGTACATAGTATTATGTATACAGTCTCTCCTTGGCTGCATAACACCTGGTCCTACCATAGATAATGTTTTGAACAGTATCATCACTGTGGAAAGAAAATGTCTTAAAGTATAGTCAACTTTCCAACATTGAAAAAATAACTTCAAAAATGCTTTCAATTACATACTTGCTCCATTTATATCAGTCAGTACTGGTTATTTCATTCCTAGAAGTGCAGTCAAAACAACCCAAGTTGTTCCTAGCCTGTGCACAAGAGTCGGCTCTTTGGCAGTTCCTTACACAGCTCGGTGGTTTTAACTTCCTATACACATGTTTAGCCTAGTTGGGTCAAAACAACTACTTGTATTCTGCATGTCCTATTGATGGGTTATTCTTCATCAAAAGTTTAGCTATCCATAACGTTGGAAACCTTCACAAATTTCACCTGCTTCCCCAACTTAGCCTTGCATAAGGCTATATACTTAGCCATAAAATTTCTTTTTTAAAGAGCCAGATATTTTGTTTTAACCTGGAAAACAATCTCCAAATGAAAATGGCCTGACAGAATGGTGTAGTGCTGTATCTGGGAGCTTGGCAAGACATGTAACTCTTCCATGTTTCCCTGTGTGTGAAAAAGGGCAAATGATAGTATCTAAGTAGTAGCATTGTTGTAAATAATTTATTGCTACACTTTACCATGGCAAATTGTACCTGTTGAATATTTAATATACAGAGCTATATCAAGATAAGCCACAGATGTGTATAAACAACCTTTATTTGTAAAGCACCTCACATTATTTTTTACATACTACTTTTCAAGATTGGGGGAAAAATCATAAAATTGGCTTATTTAAATAAGCCTTATTTTATGCTTTTATTCAGTAAAAAATAACTTTGAATATAAATATAAAAATAATGTGCTCAGCTATACCACGGGCACTTTCACTTTTTAAATGCAAAAAGCATGGTTCAAAAGAACAGGAAAAAAAAATCAGAGAATTGCAGTTGCCTATTTTGCTGGTCTGTTTCCCCATAACGGTGAATTTTTTGAAGACAGATGTTTCATTCTGTATCCAAAATGCCTACACTTTCTCTCATTGGCCCTATTTGTGTCGTGTTGAATGACTGCAGCACGGATTTGATGTAAGTGCGTTCTCTCATTATCATGAGAGAAGTAGATCTGGCTATAGAATTAAGGAAAGGTCTTTCTAACTCACATCAGGTACTAATCCTGTACATTCTCCGGTATCTCCCACACTGGCAAGTTACATCCAACATTACCAAATACTAAGCAATTTCACACAGCTCAGTACACCCACGGGTGGGACTCCTACCCAGTTATGAGCAACACCGCCGAACTATGCCACCATATACCTAAAAGGTTCTCAGAGGACAGAGTCCAAAAGTCGAGAGACAAGGCTAACTTAGCTTCTGTCTCACAATAGCCCAGCTCGTGTTTCGACTTGTTTCTGGAAAGAAGCAAGAGGTGGGCACTTCCCTCGAGGTCAGGTAGCAATAGGCAGCAGACAACGCTGGGGCAGGTCACGCCAAAGAGAAGCAGCCGTGGAAACGCGAGACCCCGGATCAGACAGCAAAACGGGAATCTGATTCTTTGAGTCATAGCTCTGTCTAAATACGCGGAACAAGAGTCTGGCGCACGGTGGCAATTGTTAACAGCCGGTTCCCCAAAGATCCTTTTTTTTTTTTTT